AGACTAAATATAAATTTATTGTCTTTATCTTCTAAGTTAACGATTCCCCCGTACACATATCTGCAAAAAAAAAGTTTATTAAACAGCTTATATTTATTTCAAAAAAAAAATCATAGGTACCTAAGAATTACTTCGACAAATTCAGCAGGAATATCGAGTCTTATAATAGTTATAGAACTCTTGTCTATAATGGCTTTAGTCAGCTCTTCACGGAAGTAGGATGATCGAAATCGTAAAATCGTTGAATGTGAAGTAAATAGTTTCTTATCTCCCTCGTTACCCACTTCAATGGTAACATCGTAACATTCTTTATCGTTAAGTATGTCGGTAAAGTCTTTGGATAACTTATCAAAAAATTTTAGGCTCATTTTTTTACTCCTGTTATGTAATACATGTGTATGGTATACCGTAATGAGTTTTAATTCATAATACGGTTTTGCTTCTGTGATACGTAGTACAAGTTGTATTAAAAATTCGTATAAACATCTATACTAGGATAGGTTGCAAATTAAGTTATAATTCTAATTACTGTATATTTTTTTTTAATTTTTTTAATTTTTTGTTTCGAACTTATAATGGATTCCATTGTTTCTAGTAATAATAATTATTATTTTAAAGTTTATATTGAAATCAAATTGATATAAATATTTTAATTATTATTATTATTACTTGTTAATAAATATTAATTCTTTTTATTTTGATTGTATATTGCAAGGTATACAACATAAAAAATTTTTTTGAAAAAACAATTGCTTTTTCTTTTATAACTATAACACAATATTAATTATAATATTTAATATTATAAATAAATATTTTTAATTTATAATTAATTTTTATGAAATTAAAAATAAAACAAATTTTTTAAATTTTTATGAAATTTAGTTAAAAAAATTATTTTTCAATAGAAAATTATTTTAAATTATTTAAATTTTATATAAGAATTTTTTTTGTAGTCAAACAAGTATATATGCTTATTAAATCTTTATAAAAAACAAATAATATATAATATATTCTATTATATAAACTATTCTATTGTCTTGAATACTCATCTTAAACTATATTTCTAGATATAACTTTAAAAATAAAAAGTTTGCTCTCTTTACTATCTATTTAATTAAGAAATTTGAAAATAAAGATTATAGTACACAGTTCATTACTATGGTTCATCTAAACAAAATCTAAACTACTTATTATATTCCTAACCATTTCTTTTTTTCTTTTAATCTATTCTCAAATTGTTATCAGGCTTTAATCTTAACTTTGATTTGATTCGTCTTTAATGATTTTTTCCTGATTTATAAGATCTTTAACTTTATACTCTTTCAGTTTCTGTTATAGATTTCTTCTTTTTTTTTAATATTTATATGACTACTTTTTCAATATTTCAATATTTTTAATTTTTTCTTTTAATTCTTTCAGTTTGAAACATCTGTCATTCTATATCTTCTTTTGATCTTGTTTACAAGCTGATTTTGATAACTTTCATATTAATAATCTTTTGCTTTGTCATTCTTGACTTTTAGCTTTGCCATTATTAATATTCATTTTATAATATATTCTTTTGGAAAACCTTAAATAGAGATCTATAATAATTTTTCCTTTAGAACTTGTTTATATATTACTTTTGTAGCAGGACACAAATATTGGCTTATCTGTTTTAATTCTTCTTTTTTGGATATTTTCTATTTACTTGTTAAGTACTTGATCTTGAACTTTGTTTAAATTTCTTTTCAGATTTTCAAAATGCTGAGGCATGAGAAAATACTATATATTCAAGTGATTCTTTTTCTTATCTATAATATAAACAGTTAGTTATACCTTTAAAAATCTTTGATTCATATTATCCAAAATTGAAAGTTCATTATGCATTATCTTTATTTAGAAGGTCTTTTCCTTGATTTGTTTTATTGAAGTTTCTAAATTGTGACAGACTTGTCACAGTTTTTGAAATCACATAATCTATTATATTTTGAATTCAAGCATTGGTTAATCCAGAAATACTGCTTGCGTATATGTAATCAGCCTGATTTTACTAATGCCCACTCCTCTTCCCCCAATAATCTAAGAATTTTCTGAGCTCCTTGAGTTTTTTTACGTAAATTTGTATCTGTGATGTGAGGTAGAAAAAGGTTTCATTTCCTTATATATTTTTGTTCGAGCTGTTTATCCTTGATATTACCATTAGCTATAAGACTTTTGACTCTGTTTTCGAATTCAAGGGAATAATAATACCAACACAAAATTTCTTCTTGGCCTTTTATAATCGCCTTATCAAACAAATATGATAAACTTTCTGTGGAGCCTGGAATTAAGTTTTCTATATTCTGAATACAAGATTTATTAATTTCATCATCCGAGGATGTGGAGTTACTTTGGCAAGCTACTTCGTATTGATTCTGGGTCAATTCTTGAATTAAACCTTGTTCTATGATTTGACTTGTGTCGACCACGTCAATTTCGTCATCCTGCTCCAATCCTGATACTTCGGAGGTATTTGTATATACATGGTCTGATCGTGACAAATTTGTCACGGTTTCCTCAAGGCTTTCCGAATTTCTGAAATCACATGACTTTAATCGTTCCCCGGGGGAACGGTTTTTGTATTGCGATTAACTTGGGGTTGTGACTCCGTATCTCGGGATGTAATTTCATGAAATTGCGATAAGTCTCGGCTTGGTTTCCAGCCGATTCGCGCTGAAGCTTTTTTTCTCTATTTCTATCTCTTATCTCGTTACTAACCCTTTCTTTAACTTTCAAATCCACAAAATCATCGACTTCTTTATCTTCTGGCGATATGGGAGAGGAGTTGGATGGACAGGTATCGGAAGAAATATCGTTTCGTGACTGCTTCTGTTCCAATTTCGCGACCATAGCCTTAAGCTCGGCATTTTCTTATGCAGTCTGTTCCAATTTCGCGACTCTGGCCTTAAGCTCGGCATTTTCTTTGGTCGTCTGTTCTAACACTACGATTCTGGCCTCAATTTCTTCACTATCTTGTTTTAACTTTGTATTCTCAGCCTTGATGTCAGAATTCTCCTTTATAAGCTCAGAAATTTCGGCTAAAAACTTCGAATTTAATTCTTGCAACGAATCAATTTTTGATTGAGTGTCTGACATTGTTTATATGAGATGCGGATATGTTTAAAAAGTTTTTTGTCTTGTAGACATGAATTCCTTGATTGTAGTCGGTCACTTTTTCCAAAGGCAGAGACATAATAGAAAAATTCTCAAACTTATGGATATTGATGTCCAATGAGATAAAGAGCATTGTGCGATTCTTACTAGTCATATCGGGTTAGTCGGAAAAAATTATGAAGATATACAGTAAGAAAAAAGCGAAAATTTTATTCATTTTTCTTCGATTATATTCAGTATTAGGACTAGTAAATATGCATGGAAGGTGTGAGACAAGAACTAATAAGGTCCCGATATAAGATGGATAACACTTTAGGGATTTAAAATAGAAAATTGGATATCAAAGAGATCGATGGAAACAGGGTTAGGGAGAGGAGGGGAGGGGATTACGAAATTATTTGGCATTCCGTGATAAATGCATCCAAGAGAAATGTTGATTACACGTTGCCCCGGTCCAATGTTAAGTGGATTGCCTTGACGATCAATCGTTCCAAATTCATACTGAATAAAGAAAATATTAAATTCGTTTAGTTCTATGCTAAAAAAGTGCATTAGAGTATAACATACCATTATGGGGGCGAACGCACCAACGGCTGTTTGATTATTTCTACAATAGTGCCAAGCCTATTCAAAAACAAAAATCATTTAAATGATGTCAATGGCAAATGCCAAAAATTAAATCCTTTTGTCATTACTTACCGTCATCTCCGTTGGAGGCCTATCATCCGGTGTGTAGTTTAGCTTAATGGCAATTACATCGTGAACTCTATTGTCAGCGAGCCAATAAGTTTCTACTTTTTCTTTGAGATGCCATTCCTCTTGGGCATAAGCGACCTCAATCACAAGATTGGGCCAGGGTTTATGCTGATGTCACCAATATTAGAAATTGAAATTCAATACAATCAAAACAGGAAAAACACTTCATACATTTCCATCATATCCACTGCTATGGACTGGAGGTTTTCCATAAGGTCGAAGACATCCATCTGGCTCTTTGCCACCCCCACGTGTTTTTGTTGCTTTTATGGCGAGTAATAGACATAATTAGAATATAGAAGCATAAAGAAAGGCAATAATACACTCACTTGGTGCTCCAGAAAATTTAATATTAGCAGGAGTATTTCTCACAGTTCGAAATTCTATAGAAAGCACCTCTAAAATTGCAATAACAGAATCTTCGTGAAATGACGAGGGAAGCTCGACAATGCAAACCGTTTGATTTTCCCATTCCCAATAACCCTTCACATTATGTTTGTCTGTTTGAAAAATAAACTCTTCTAACGTCACACCAGTCTTGAGCACGTATGGTAGACTTGGCCGTAAATAACAACTGATATCAGTTACTAGCTTATAAAATATCGAGTCGTCGAAGCAAATAGGAGACTTACGTCGCATCATTCCACTTAGCTTTGGGGTGAAAGTTTCCAGTGTTCCACCAAAGCTGGCGGTACCAATTGACGTCCCTCACCGAAGAAGTAGAAACCTCCGTTGCACTGGACATGGCTATTTTTCGACAATAAGTAACACAATGCTGCCTACCTTGAAGCAAAATAAGAAAATTCACACACCTTTGCATACCACTACGTTATTCAACTAACCCCATCTGATTGGAAGAAACGAATCTGGAATCAATTAGTGGATTATAGAAATAATAATAAATTGGTTGATTACAATAAGCAATATATTGTTGCTAGAAAAATGGAATCAACAGAAGGATTCAATTATCGTGTGGCTGTTAAAGTGAACATTGCTATATGTTATAGCTGTGCTCAGTTTGTTTATGTTGATAAAAGAGTAGGATATGAATTATATCACAATTATAAGATAGAGGAACATTGGCGTACAAATTGTACTGGAAATAGACATTGTGATATAAGTTTCAAAGAGTATATGGAGCTTAAACAAAAACCAGAAGTTGAATATGATATTTACATAAGGTTAGCTATTTATCGATATGAATTACGAATAGAGAATCTCATCAATAGAGTTAAACATATTCGAGAAACAGCAAAAAGATTCGAGCATGCATTACTATACAAAGAAATTTTATTGAATGGTATTACAAACCCGAGGGCCTCAAGGCAACCGAGATCGCTCTACACTATAAAATCTTATGGGCGGTTCGAGAAGAAATGCGACAAGTTAATAATGTATAATACACATATCTATTTATTTGATTAATATATCTATTTATTATTTATATAATTTATTCATATATATATCTTTAAAATAAAACCACCTAAGGTATTCCTTGAGGGTTAGTACTTTAGAATTTTATTTATTGCTATTTCGTGATAATTAGGCACTATGTACCTGCGAAGCAATAGCTATTTTTTTATCTGTATATATTTCATAATTTTTGCATGCAAACTTTTTGCGCGCAAATTAATAGTCAATGT